TTTCACTGGATTTTCTTACGAAAACACTTCGCTGAATGTATGCAAACGATTCTTTATGCTTTCAGCTTCAATTTGACTATATTTTTACCACTGAGAAAAAGCAATCTAGCAAGGTTTTATTGAAATGAAACACACGCACTACAAATTGTAGCTGATTTCGAGTTGCCGATAATAGAACAGTAGATTTACATGCAGTTCAAATGGAACGGTTGCCGAAGAAAAACTGGTTGCCGACAATACTCGCTCTCACTAGAGAAGATTGGAGCTTTGTAAAAGCGTTTCAAAACAGTTTTTGACAATTCTTTCGACTGAAATAGTTAGAGCAGCTGGCAGCAAAAGATTGTAAACAAACCAATACTGCATATGTGTGCGTTCCATAGAGAAAAAGGCTATAGAAAGAAGGTCGCTGCTTAGGTTGCCGAGAATACGTAAATTCCCCTATACCATTCCGGTTCATCTGTCTGAAATTCCCCGGGTAATGTTCTCTTTTGATAAGTTCAGCGATCTGTCACACCTCCATCATAATATTGGAAGTCATGAGGTCGTTTGAGGCTTCACCTTGGTTTCAAAGCCACTTGTAAAAATACACGCTGCCCGGGGCTCAGAAGCTGCCATTGCGGTACAGCCCTTATGAAGACGAACCACAAAGGAAATGTGGAACCAGCCTAGTAAAAATCACAGCAGATCCATCCAATTTAACACCCCTATTCTGTATTTCGTTTCGAACGAAATTCTCATACAAAAAAATATTTTTTTGTATGAGAATTTCGTTCGAAACGAAATACAGAATAGGGGTGTAAGTATCACTGCTCAGACTTCATGGTTCAGATTCACACTTTACAAACTTCAGATCTTTATTTGCTTGACTCCTAGTTGTAGAGCTAAAGTCTTGATATCCTCAATACTGGGACTAATTAAGTAACATATCAAAAATTGAACTTTTTTCATTGACATTTAGAGGTGGTAGACCCCTTAAGTTCAAAATGTCGAACAATGTTTTTTTTTCAAATAAAACATATGTTTCTATAAGTAAATACGTGATTTTGTCCATTTTACGATATCTTCACTCATTCTCGAGATATATGGCATAGCGATGTTCCCACATATGGAGTTACGCTTACATATTGACATATCGCAATCAGCATGCTTGCAGTACTACAGGGTGTCCCAGAATGTCTAAGCACAATTTAAAAAAACAAGAACGTAACTCTGTTTACAGACATTTTGATTTTTATTTCGTATTGATGTTCTCTATAGTAGGTATTCTCTTACAGTTAAACGTAGAAAATCCGGGATCCAATCAGTCGTAAGCCAAGGAGCGGATTTTTGATCTCATTAACTTCAGCACAGATGCCTTTCCAACAATTTTGGATACTTTTTCCTAGTCTCTCGCAAACTTTGTAACAGAATCCACTGCCTTTACATGGTTCCGCAAATATGCTTTGGTCAGGGTCCAAAAAGTTTCGATTGGCCTGGCCTGGGGACAGTATTACGTGTTCATCTCCTTTGGTACGAATTGGACCTTGTTGGATTTATACCAGGCTACCGTGTCCTTGGAGTAATGAACCGTCGCAAAATCCGGCTAAAACAGTACTGATGCGTCCTGTTTGCGGATCATGGGTAACAGAAGTTTGTTTAAACACTCACGTAAACATCGGTTGTCATTGTATCCCTTGTCACAAACGGTTTGGAAAGCATACAACACTCACAAATGGCTTGCCAAACCATAGTCTTTTTACCAAATTTTTCGGTTAAAATCGACTTATCCACGTCGTCAACCCTTCGGCCATAACGGACGGTGTAGCACTGATCACCAGGAAGAGTTTTGTAATCAAATTTAACGTATGATTCATCGTCCATAATCACGCACACCGATTTTCCGCACAGCAATTGGTCGTATAACTTCCGAGCCCGAGACTTCCATGAGACCACTATGGAATACGAAATGCGTCATCACCAGTTAACGGAGACAAGGAGTACTCAAACAGTTGAAGTTTGCCCGGATTCGGTGTTGGTTCAAACCATCGTTCGTGATCGTCCGTAACAACTCAGAATAAAGTTCAACTTGCTAAAAAAAATCTCCCATACGTCGCGAAGAGACGCTTGTTGAACTTATTCAATCAATTTCTGGAACACAAAATTGTTTCGGATTACTGGAGGCAAGTGAGAGTTATCGCCATTCGAAAACCCGGTAAACCCGCGTCGGATTATAACTCATACCGTCCCATCGCGATGCTGTCCTGTTGTCCTGTATACGGAAATTGTTGGAGAAAATGATTCTTTTTCGTCTAGACAAATGGGTCGAGTCGAGTGGTTTACTTTCAGATACGCAATTTGGATTTTGGAGAGGCAAAGGAACGAGCGACTGTCTTGCGTTGCTTTCAACAGAAATTCAACTGGTCTATGCGCAAAAACAGCAAATGGGTTCAGTTTTCTTGGACATTAAGGGGGCTTTTGATTCTGTTTGTATCGATGTCCTTTCGGATAAACTTCACGATAGTGGGCTTTCACCAATTATGAACAACTATTTGAGCAACTGGTTGTCTGAGAAATATATGAGAAAGGAAACTCGACAACTTCACGAATTAGTTACATGGGTCTCCCCCAGGGCTCATTTTTAAGCCCCCTTCTTTATAATTTTTATGTAAAAGGCATTGATGGTTGTCTTGATGAAAATTGTTATAGGGCCAAGTGCACCGGACCTGCAAGGACCATTGCAAGATACCTTAGAGAATCTGTCTACTTGGGCTATGAAGCTACCCTAATAAAAATGTTATGGTTAATTTGCTTAACGACGTGTTCGGGGTATCATCCAAACCATTTGGGGAATAGTTCAATCATTTGGGTTATCGTTCGATTATGGTAATTTTTTATTAGGGTAGGTATCGAATTCTCTCCATCCTTTCGGTTTTAGATCCAATACCGTTGCCTTCGTAATGCGCTAGGCTATATGCACTCGACTCATACGATGAGCCTCGAAGTACTCGCGGGTGTTCTCCCACTGACAGATCGTTTCGCTGAGCTGTCTTTCCGGTTTATCATCCGTTGTGAAGTAATGAATCCTTTGGTAATAGAAAACTTTGAGAAGCTGCTCGTCCGAACTCCTCAAACAAGATTCATGAGTTTGTACTATGAGTACATGACGCTGGAGGTTGGTACTCCTTCATTAATCTACAATCGTGATTGCTTTCAAGCCTTCTATAGTTCCTCTGTAAATTTTGATTTGACCATGATGCAAGAAATTCATGGAATACCAGATCACCATCGGTCGATGGCAGTTCCCTCAATTTTTGCAATCAAGTACCACCATGTAAGTAACGTTTTACGACTCGCGCGACTTAGGTGACCGTGACATTGGATGTATGTAATGCGCGAGAGATAAATACAATTAAAATAAACTTTATTTTGTAAAATACAAACTCACGAACAACATGTGAAAGCTTTTGTAAACAAACCTTCCTATGCCCTTTTCTCGCCACCCATATGACATCAACGCAAACCATTAACATTAGGGGGTAGGGGAAGCTTTCCCCTTCCCAATGATGTTGTTGGTTTGCGTGAGCGACCCTTGGTTGGCGAGAAAAGGGCATACAAAGGCTTGTTTACAAAAAGCTTGTATGCCCTTTTCACATGTGGCTCTTGAATTATGCTTCGTTTGTAAAGTGGACCCTACACGATTGCTTTAATCGTATTGTCAATACATTCTGTATTCACATCATCAATATTATTGTCAATAATTCCCCTTCCCGTCAATATATTGATACGTGTGGGGTTCGCTTAAAACACGCAGTTTCACTTTTCTTCTAAAAACTGCCGATGACGTTTCTCGCTGCTCGGTAGCATCGACTGGAGACAGGGTGGTCTGCCAACAGTGAGCTCAGCTGGTCGATGGATTCTGTTTCGTGTACTAGGGATGTACATGGGTCCCAACATAACGATAAAAGTTTTTCCACAAATGGGTCAACCATAAATGCTTCCACTGGATTTGGTGTATTTAATCAATTTCATAGCGCCTCCTATAAACTGCAAAAACCATGCTCCGTATACGTTGCGGATCTCGCAGCCATATTTTACGCAGTAGAGCGAATTGCCTCACTACCTTCTGACCATTATTTCATTTTTACGGATAGTCTTAGCTCATTGGAGGCTATTCGTTCAATGAGGCCGATGAAGCACTCCTCGTATTTCCTGCCTGAAATACGATCTAAACTGAGTGCTTTATCTAACTGCTCCTATACTATCACCTTAGCTTGGGTCCCATCTCATTGCTCAATTCCGGGTAATGAGAAAGCGGACTCGTTGGCTAAGGTGGGCGCTATGGAAGGCGATATTTTTGAGCGACAAATCGCCTTCAACGAATTTTTCTCCATTGCTCGTCAGCAAGTCCTCATCAGTTGGCAACAAAATGGAATGATGGTGATTTGGGAAGATGGTTACATTCTATTCTCTCACAGGTGTCGAAAAAACCATGGTTCGAAGGGTTGGACATGAGACAGCATTTATGTGCGTGTGGCAGTGGTTATCATGATATCGAGCATGTTGTTTGGTCATGTAACCAACACCGTGTTGCCAGATCTGACTTATCCACATCCCCCAGGGCCCGAGGAAAACAACCCCCGTTTTCCCCGTTTGCTAGCCACCCTGTATATATTAAACCATTATATTATATACTGGGTTGGGGGGGCAGCCTAAGGGAATCAAAGAATTTGTTGACTGGACGAGGGTTCGTGGATTTGCCAGTCCCTTGTTACGTGATTACAGTCTGGTTGTTTTATCTTCCAAATGTCTTCAATGAAGCTGATTCAGCCTGCTGCAACAAACCCTCAGGCAGAACTTTACAACCGGTAAAGTATCTGCAGATATTGGTAATCCTTGCACTGATGGTGGGTTCCATTCCCATCACATCACATTACATCACCCTGCTAACTGACCAGACTATCTGAGACCTCCATATGTGAAGGGATGTGATATTATGGTTGAATTTACAAAAACTCAGTGTATTTAAATATTGATTATCTGTTTTATTTTCTCTACTGGTTTTTGTTTTTCTCATTAGTATTGCACTAAATACATACAGGACATTTGCTAAAACAAACATTGCAAAATTGATAACTTATTGTTCTTCCTTTTCTTCAAAAGATCCTAACCTGTTAAAATTAAGTAGATAAGTTTTCTTCAATCAAAGCCTTATTTAAAAATTTGCATGATTTGTGTACAGAAACAATACCGATAATTAGTGGTACAATTCTTATGGTGTATGATACAAAGTTCACTCTTACACAGTCGATTCTACGTAATAATATCAGAGTTAAGGAGTACAAAGCTTACTGAAACGAAACTCTACTGGATTGAAGACGAAAAACCCCATAATTTGAATATAATTTACCATACCAATCTTCGAAAGCAGCGTAAATCAATTTCGGACTGCTCCGCTGTTCTCCCGGCGGCCGTGAGAACAATCCCATAGATTTTCTGGTTCCTATAGTTTGATTCTTTTCAATTTTCAATTTATCTTCATTATAGTTACTTCAATCATCATCATCATCATCTGCTTCTTTTTCATCATAATTTTCCATTCATCTGCTCGGCCGACCTGCTACCTATACTGCCTTTTGGGTTGAAGGGAGGGGTGAGAAGAAACCACCGAAAAAAGAGTACCGAGAATAAATTATCATTATTTCCAGAATAGGAGGAAGGAGGCAAAAAAATGTTATGCTCATTGAGATGGATCGAAAGTTTCTCTCAGTTCTGTTGCGTGTGTGTTGGGTTTGGGTATTTACAGAGAATCATGCTCACGCTCACATTCAGATCGGATTTCTTCTCTATACTCTAACTTTGCTCCACCACCGTTCACCGGTGCCGGTCGTGTAGGTTTCTTCTTCCCACTCGCTATTTCCCAGCTGTCTTCTTGGCCACTATCTGGTCATTTCTCACAGACTTGTTATTTTCTCGTTTAGCCGTAAAATGATTCGTTTTCTTCTTGCTATTTTGCTTACTGTGGGTATGTATGTGTACGGTATAGCTATGCTGTATGTATGTCTTCTGGTTCACTATTGCACAACATCGAGTATAATAGGAGTACGGGGAGAAAGAGGTGATTTACCCAGTTTTATTGCTGATACCGAGAGACATGTAGAGCTTCTCTAACAAGGAGAGTGGTGCGGAATTTACACACATTAAATATGCGTATGTTCGATTTAATTACATTTGCAAAGACTCGCATCACGAGTTGCAAAAGGGGGTAGTATTGGTCTAATTCAGGATTTTTAAATACATTAGGTTATGCACACTGAGGCGAATAAATTATTAGCATTTTCGATTTAGTAATATCGAGTAATATATTCAAACTATATTTATAGAAATTTACAATTTCTTTCAACTAAACTATCAGAACATAAATAATTTTAATCAAGCATAGCCTTTGCACTAGAAAACAACTTATCCTAACCTAATGATTAACAAACCTCAATGCAATCGAAAAGTAAAGTCATGTGCAGTCCGGCACGGCGCACTTTCACAGCTGAGCGTGATTTTCGGCGAAGTGAAGTAATTACGGGGGCTGCTGTTTTTCGAGATTGTTTCATCCATGAGACTCGCAGCAATTCCTGAAATCATTTCCAACCGAGCAATGTTTTAATTAAATGTCCATGCCGATTTCCTCCGTTTCGCAGAAGCGGATAAGCGACACGCAAGACGAAACAAAATGGGAGATGTTTTCGATTTGGTTTGCACCATCAGGAACTCACAAAACTCTGGACTTTTGACAAGTCATGACACGTTACACCACGATTTACAGTAGTCTCTGTCTACTGCGATCCCACGTAATCGACTGGCAACTAATTTTCATAACAAAAAAATGTAAACAACATTTTTCCTGTCTATTTGACACTTACGACATTGTCACATTTTGTTTCGTTTCGTTTTTTTTTTCATCTGCTGCCACCCAAAAACACAGCTGTCAATCAATGTCATCTCGCATTTGGGTGTGCGCTTTTCCACATTTGAAACATTTTCATTTCATAAAGTGTGTATGTAAGGTAGGTGCTGCTTTGGTCTTTTTGTCGACAGATCATCATCGTCCCAGTCATGTCTTCACGTTTCTTAGCAGTTCATCGATAAGATTGCGATTCAGTGAGGCCTCTTCCCTTGCCACAGTTTCGTTTGTTAGACAACGTTTACACTGTTTTTGCTGATGCCACCACCGACGCTGCTACCGTTGCTGCTACTTACACGGTTGCCGTTCGTCCCATTCGCCACGACTGCCGCTGCGTCCGCTACCGCTGCCGTAGCGGCGGCCGCTTTCAATCCAGCCGCCACTTTCTCGATGGTCTTTTTGCCACCTCCACCACTAGTTGAGCTAACGTTATCGTGTTTACTGCCACTGCTGCTGCTGTTGTTGTTGTTATTGCCATTCAAATTTGACACTCCGCCGCTTGATGCACCGTTGCCATTGGTAGTGGTGTTGAATGCACTGGTGTTGGCTTTTGCCAGCGATGCGATAGAGGAAATTGTATCGCCTGAGCTGATGCCGTTATTATTCACACTTGATTTCTGTCCTGCCGCCGTATTTGCGTTGTTTGTTTTGATGTTTACGGTCATGATTTTCGCTGCCGTTGGTGACGTAGGCGAGAAAGATGTTATCGTGTTACCGGAGGAGGAGGATGCAACTACGGTGGAGAAGGATGCTGCCGGCATGATGCCAGAAGAGTTGCTTATCGCTATCGTTTGATTACGAAATGCCAGAGCCGATGGGTTCGGAATGTTGCGAACCGATGGGTTCAGCTGACGGACTGCAGTGTTCCGATTGCGATTAATCTCGGCTAGTTTTGGCATTGGTATCGATTTTGCCGACGCCATCGTCGTCGTCATCGTCAACGATGAAGGGCTTGCTGGGAGTTTTGGAATGGCACTGGGACTACTGATGGCAAAGCCAATCATCTCGGGCGGGAGCTTCAGGCCTGGAATGCTACTCTGGAGCTTTGCCATCATACCTGACCCGGCTTTGATCATCGAGGCAGCCGATGTATGAATCAACGAATTGATTAATTCTAATCGACTACTATCCATTTCAACTCTGCCATCTGAGCCGGGTCTGGCCGCAGGTGGTTCCTGTCGTTTTTCTACGCTTGGTTTTTGTTTGGGCTCATTTCCATTCAGTTTGGGCGTCAGGCTGTCACTGCCTTCAAGGATAATCAAATCGTCATTTGCACGTGTCGTCAGGTCTAGAGCACCGCTCGTATCCTGATGGGAGGCGCAAGTGGTGGATAGATTGGAGGAACTGTTTGTACACGAGCTGGTTACTTGGAAAACGGAAGGCGAAATAGGCGAGGTTGGATGCTCTGGCATGGAGGTGGTTTTTTTAATTTTAATCAGCGGAATCGTGGGCGGAGGAGGTCTGGTTGTTTTTGGTGTGATGGACGTTGATTTCGGGGACGTCATGGTGATGGTTGTTTGGGGTTTATCAGCGACTGGTGCGCTGGATGGTATTCTGACAATTTCCAGAGCAGGTCGATTGTCTACAGGTGGTGGCTGTGGAACGGTGTCTGTCATTTTGGTGACACTTATCGACGATGGAGGTAGTAATAGGCTCGGAACAGGCTTTTTCGTGTTTACCTCCTTGGTGTAGGAGGAACTGATGGGCGATCTGTAAGGTACATCGTTTGCCGAGGTTGGTAGTCTGTTTGGGTTGCCATTTTTGGCCAGGCTGGCTCCTTTCACAAAATTAAACATAGGAGCATAGATGGGTTTCGTTAGGAACCGATGCTGTGCATTCAGCTCCATCAGATCCACTCGAGGGGTCTTTGGAGGAATGTTGTAGGTAGAGCTGCTGTCAACACTGATGGACCGTTTCAACGCAGGATTCATGTTCCTTGGCTGATAGACATTTGTACTGATGGTAGTTGGGTTGATGACTTTCTTCGGTGCACTTTGCAAGGCTAGTGGCGGATAGTTCGGGATGTGCCTAGGGCTGAACACTTGCTGCGATTGAACCGTCACCCTTTGTTGAGGTTTTGGAATGCTGTTGGTCGAAACCGTTCGGCTGCTAGCCGTAGAGGGAATCATCGTTGGTGGCTTCATGCTAGGCACGGTTGAAATCGGTTTAGTAGGAACCAGTGGAGGCATCGGAACTTTGGACACGGGATGCCCATTCCCCTCAAGCTTGCTGGTAGAAACAATTTGTACATCATTATCCTTATCAATAAATCCGGTTTTCGCTTGAACGCTCTGAATTAGGCTATTGATTGTGGGGGAATTGTCGAACAGATTCTTATCGGGATTTGGAATGTAAACCATCGGTTTATGACGAATTGCTCGCATCTCATTAATTTTGGTTTTGGTAGAGCTGTCCGATCCGCTGAGGGACGGCGGCAGGCTTGGCAGCTCGTTTACCCTCGTCCCGATCGGTGTTGGTTTTTCGGTGACATTTGCCGGTCCGCTGGCCAATGGCTTCAGCCACGCTTCGAACGTGGGATGTTCGATAATTTTCACGTCATCATCATCGTCTCCCTTGGTAATGTCAATCACCTTTGAGCTGTCTTCCTTTGGTGGCGTCGACACGGGTGTAGCAAAAACCGCTGCCGAAGTAGATGATGATGATGATGGTGGTTGAGGTGATGGTGGTGGCAACGATGATGACGGAGTAACTTCCGCATTGTGTTTAGTCGGCTCTTTCGGCGAATGCGGCGTGATTTCCTCGCTTGGTTTGCGATCGTGTTTTGATGGTTTTTCTGTGAGTTTGACCTTCATTTTCAAACTCTCATCTTGCTGCGATGAAATTTCGGCATGTAATTTTCTTCGCTTGCCACCCGGTTCTTTGGAGTGTTTCGCCTTTTTACGCTTTCGGTGGAAGGACGGGTCCGGAGAGGAGGAGGTCGAGCTTTTCTTCTTCTTTCTTTGGCTATCGCCCTCCGAAATCTTGTGAACTGGTTTCAGTCCAATTGTTTTGGCATACTCTTCTATGCCTATCGAGGGGCCATCGGTCGCTTTGCCACCGTCATCCGGTTTTGGCCATATCGGAGATTTGCCAGAAGCGGACGTTGATGCCGCCGGGGACGTCGCTGCTGAGGAGGAGGTCGATGAGGAATGCGCGGATTTGGGTGACTTTTCACTGTCCAGTTTGGGGATTGTGATTTTCGTTTTCAGACTAGGTAGCTCTATTTTCAATTTAGGAACTTCTTTGCGATGGTGCTCAGTACTGGACGAAAGCGGTGAAACGACCGTTTGTTTCTTCAAATTTACATAACACTTCAATTCGGATGACTTTTCACTCTTCTCTCCTATGGCGGTGCTGGTGCTAGAAGCCGTTATCGCCACCGGAGCACCGTTGCTTTCGCTCCGTGCCGGAGCAGATTTAGATTTTTCATGCTTGGTTTTTGCTACACCTACCGGTGCCGTTTCACTTCCAGCCAGGCTGGTGGCCTCATTCCCGTACACTTTGTTTCGACTATTGTCTTCGGAGAACTTTTTTCCGCTAGAATCACCGGGATTGTTATAATCATTATTTATTTTATTGTGCTTTTTAGCATTCTGTGACTCAGATTTTCTTGAGTCATCACCCGGAACGGTTCCACTTTTGCCGCTCGTAGCTCTCGACGATGTACCCGATCCAAATGATGATGACGAAGACGCCGTTTCGTAGTCACTGTATCGGATATCATTGCTGCGAAGCCGTTTGAAATCACCGAAGCTGACCGATGCGCTCGGACTGCTCTGTTTGGGAGATTTGCTTGCTTTGGAATCACTTTTCGAATAAACAATCTTAGCATCATTTTTATCACTCTTCTTCGGCACCAGCACCAACTTTAACGATTCTTTTTCTTTCTTCTCACTTCCACCTTTGTCCGATTTGTTAGTTTTCGTGATTATCAATTTGCTATCGTATTTACTGTAACAACTAGCCTCCGACGCTTGAAATCTCGACTTTGCACTGGGTTCTGTTGACACTTTGCTAGATTCATTGTTTACACTTTTGACAGCATCTTGCTCGGCGCCCACTTTGATCCGACTGTCAGCTTCTTTCGGCACCGTGAAAACAACAGCCGGTGAGCTCGTAGGAGCTTTGCTACCGTCACCACAACTGGCACCGGTGGCGTTCTTGCTCGGTGACGTTGACGTTGGCTTTGATGATGACGATGACGATGACGATTCCGCGCTACCTTGGCTCGGCTCGTTGAGGTTGGCATCGGTGCTTCTGCCGGTGGTGCTATTATTAGCATCACGCTCGCCTCCGCTATTATTATTGTTTTCGTTGCTATTTTTATCGCTGCCCACATTGTACGTGGTGGTGGATGCCGTTGGCTTTGCGGTCGGATGGATAAATATCCGATAGTACAACCGCATCAGGGAGCTCTGCAAATGGAGAATGATGAAAATGGAATGATTAGTTACATAATTGGGTAATGAACAGCGAGACAAATTGGAACTATCATTGCTTCATTTCTGATTTCAATTTGGTTCCTAGACTTTCGCCCTCGTAAACACCGTCACCGGTGGCAGTGGCCAAGCATGCCAAGCGATAATTCAATCCCCAAACATCCAAACTCCGAACACAAGAGGCAAAAGGGAGTGAAACTTTTCATTACTCAATTTATTTATTCAGTCATAATAGCTACATTCGGTGAAGATTGCTCTCGTCCGACCGATACGATGGCGGCCAACAGCAGTGCTACTTGATTGATGTCTTGAGTGGGCAGTGTTGCCAAATTGCTTTGTTGTTCTCTGGTGTGGATTTATTAACCTTTTGAAGAAAAAGCGAAACACAAGTTTGGCAAAGTACGAACTTTCCACTAGTTTTCCAAAGCTCCGGGGCCTTCTTATTTCACCGGTACCTACTGAAATTACTGGTGCCGGGGTTCGATAATGAAGAGTGACTGCCGTGAATCGTCGCCGTCTCTCGCTGCAGCAGCAATAGCCGAGAAGTGGCGGAACGAAAATAATTAATAGTAATTATGTTGAAAGATTGCAGTGATAAAGTACCCACGGCGGGAGTGATTAGCAGTAGGATTGGGTCCGTCGTAGGTGTGTGTGTGTGTGTATGTGTGATGTGAAAAACATGATAAACGTTTTAGCGTGTGATGCCTCCGGCCCGCTGCTGATCGGGAGATGAGGGAGAAAATCCTTGAAAAAGGGCGGCTTGTACTTCTTGCTTAAAAGAGTAGGCTTGCGGTGCGATGCGCGAGATGAAATCCAGTCTGCCTTGAAAGTATTGAAGGAATTGTTTTGTGGCTTCAATGATGATTGCAGATTACTTTGCAATTTTATGACTGGTTTTGGTGCTGGGGTGTAATTATCAGTTTGATTTCGAGGATGAAGTGGTACAATTATTGCGATTACTTGTTATATCTGTGTTGCAGCTGGTCTGATGCAAATAATACCTGAAGGTCACAGTTAAGGGAAAGTGGGGGAAATATGGCCAATGGGGCAATGTGGCCACCCACTTAAAAACCAACTTATTGAACTATTCATTTTATTTAAGTCTAACAAAATACTTTTTTTTAAATATTCGAAAAATTATAGACTAGCTTGAGCTTGAGCTTGAGCTTGATTGACCGCCCACGGTTGCTACTCTGTTACTGCCAGATCAGCTGTAATTACACAGAGAACCAAAAGACGATGCTTGGGACTAGCAATCATCCTCAATGTGTAAAAACTGGTGATCTTAAATTAGGCAATACCAGCGCCGGCCGCGCCCGAACACAGGTCAAGAAAGGAATGGGAAGGATTGTGTTGACATGACACTCGCTTTGATGGAAGCCGAGAACACATCTGCACTTCCACGAGGAATCACTGGGATGTTGGATAAGAGGGTTGGGTTTGCAGCAGGGTTCGTTTTGGTAAACGATAAGCTGAATTGATGTCCTAACGATCATATAACGCGAAGGAGCTTGGGAATAAACCCACGGTCTTCTGCTCAGTAAGCAAAAACGTTTGCCACTAGGCAGACGAGCACCTTTTTAATCACCGAGTTGCTGTTATTACCATGTAGTCATATTAACAAATAAAACGATTGACGAATCTTGAATGTGGATGGGCCTGAGATTAGACTCATGATGTTTTGCTCAGTAAGCAAAAACGGTTGCTCTAAGGCCACCGAGCCCCTCATATCACATAATACCGTTGCTCAAATTTGTGCATCCATTCAAACCCGGAACCAACGACAACAACGAGTTTCGCAAAATACACGATACACAAGCGATTTTACCATAAATCTCTTTGATATGTAAGGACCTGTACGCGTTTTTCTGCTCAGTAAGCAGGCCACTGTAACCGACGATCTTTCAAATCCGAAAACTAAAAACTACGAAGAAGTACTTAGGCCTTCATTAAGTTCCACTTTCACGCGACGTTCAATGACAGGGTCCTATCCAGGATTACATCTGAAAAATCCAAATACGGCCAACGCCCACCCTAAACCTAAACCTGTTCTAATCCACCTGAAATGACTAACGAATGGAAGACTTTGACTACCCAGCCATGCAATAGTCTCATTCCGTGCCTTATGGCAACTTGATGATTCTATTGCGCTCATCTTTTGGCACCACCCAGGGGAGACTTGGTCCTGTACCCAATGCTTAACTTATCTCCATTCCACTCAGCTCCTCGCAATTTCTTGTGATATAGTGGGCGGAATATTATTATATGAGACAATTCAATGCAGACGTCTTTCCAAATTTGGCAGATCGACAGGTAATCGGTGAGTTACCACGATAGTTGCTATTCAACAACTCGACAACGTCCCATCGTCAACGCCTGCTATGAGAATTTCCCATTGCAGACGCCAACGAAATGACGTCATCGAGCTATCGATCAACTACCCTGGTTATCGCCTGGTACCTTATAGCACGATGCTAGGAGGCGAACCGGAAGAATCGATGAGCTACCTCCCCCTATTCGAAAAATTATAGACTAGTTAAAAATTTCACAACTGGCGTTTCCTTAACCTCAATCTACTTGTGCACCATCTCTCAAAACATAAACAATTATAAAAATATTACTTGCAATGGATAGATATCGAGTAAACTAGAAGATTAAGTTTATTTTTCAACCGATTCGAGTATGAATATGGCTGGTTTTGAAAGTTGGTGCACAGATAAAAAGTGAGGTTATGGGACGCCACTGGTTATAAGATTTATGAATCAGAAATTAAGGTCTATCAGTAGTTTCTTATAACTTATCGTTGATATTCCTTCAGCAGCTTTATAAATGGTAATTGGTTTCTTATATGACACGCAGTGTTGGGAAAATATCAAAAAATCAAATCTCACCAACGCCCAAGATCATGCTTGATTTTCGTAGACAAAAATCAACAAGCAAACAACTGCGGTTGATTTTGCAAGTTGTGATATCGCAGCCCGGAATATCAAGCTAACAATACTCACCAACTGCAAATCTCACCAAACTGTGGTGAGATTGAGTTTAATGATTTTTGCTTTACACCCGAATGCAACCGAAACTTCCATAACGGCTTGCAGCAGTCTCTTCGCGTCTGCCATCGGTGCAGATTAAAAAGAGATAGCAAACTATGCTTTCTCTTTCTAAGAAAACTGAAGAGTTGGATCGAAGGAGCAGTTGATTTCCGTAGTCAAGCACGTTCGCGAAGAAGGGTTTTGCAGCGCAAACATACATTCGGAGGTCCTTAGCAACGTTGAAGATGGAAGAAGGAACACGGTTAAAGGACCACTTCCGAAAATTTGACGAGTTAGTCCGCCAGTTGAAGGGAGCTGGTGCTACTGTCACGGAGTTAGATGCCGTAAGTCAACTGTTCATTTCTTTGCCATCGACGTACGATGTTGTCACCACGGCTATGGACAACCTGGGAGATAATCAGTTGAAGTTGGACACGGTGAAGGCGCGTTTGCTGGCCGAAGAGCAGAAACGAATGGGAAGAGGAGACAATTCATGTGCCAATGGTGTCTCGGATGGATCAGGATCAGCGTTTGCAGTGAAGTCGGAAAGAAGCAAGGAAATGTCCAAGTTTCAAGGAAAATGCTTTGTGTGTGGTGAACAAGGCCACAAGAAGGTTGCATGTCCAAAGTTCAAAAAGCGGTATGATCGAGCTCAAGCAGCAACTGTTCCCGTATACAGAGAAGTGGCGTTGACGATTTTCCAGGAAGCGATCTACAAGTCGAAATTGGAATCGGGAGCAAGTCGTCACATGGCCAATGATGAGCGGTATTTTCACGTGTTCAAGGAGTTCGACAGACCGCTGGTAATTGAAAGTGCCAAGCAAGGTGAGAAACTTATTGCTACTAAAGAAGGCACAGTGAAAGCGAAGACGTTCATGGGTGAGAACAGTCTGACATTGTCCTTGGGAAACGTCTTATTAGTGAAGAACCTCAAGTTCAATTTGCTGTCATTGTCGCGGTTGCTGAAAGCAGGAGTCCGAGTGGAATTCCAGCCGGATCGAGCAGTGTTGTCCAAAAACGGTGAAACAATAGCTGTGGCGGAACTACCCGGGAATCTATTCTACCTGACGATGCAGCGTTATACATCAGATTCGGCCATCCTTGCGAAAGGCAGCTATGGCACAAACGGTTTGGTCACTTGAGCTTCAAGAATGTACGACGCCTGAAGCAGAGCGAAATGGTAGATGGAATCGGGGAAATTAAAAATGAAGGTGGATTTTGCGAGTCGAGTGCGAGAAATCGCTGGACGAAGAAGTAGCTTCGAAGATGGTGAATGGCTGAAGTTATTCCAGCCGTTGAAGAGATCAATACAGATGAAGTGCAGCCAACGAATAATTTGAAGATGACCATCAAGAGCTGTCCGAAGATGAGTTTGAAGATGTTGACGAAGTTGCTGACAACACTAATGAAGAAGGCGCATCGGCGGTCCCACCACACTCGAAGAATGGGAACAACTGTGAGGAGTGTGTTCCGAGGTCTAGTGGTCGGGAGCGCAGGACCCTAGGTTGGTTAGCTGATTTTTTGTCCCCTATAGAGCCCTTTCTGCTGCTGATGAATCCCAACAGATTCCGACATGTTACGATGAGGTTGACGGTCATCCGCACGAGACGGAATGGAGGCAAGCAATAGCTGACGAGCTAAGGTCTTTGAAGAAAAACCAAACCTGGACGATGGTGAGGTGCTCTGATGCAGTGAAGCCTGTGCCAAGTAAATAGGTGTTCACGTTGAAGACCGATGCTGACGGGAATCCTGTGCGCTACAAGGCCCGCCTGGTTGCCAAAGGGTACATGCAGCGGAAGCACGTGGACTATGAAGAGACGTTTGTTCCAGTGGCAAAGCTTTCAACTATACGAACGATTCTGGCGATTGCAACGAACTGAAACCTGAAGATCCATCAAATGGACGTAACAACGGCGTTCCTAAACTGTGTTCTCCAGGAAAAAG